TTTTAAATATTATTAAATCAAAATACTGTGTTTGATTTTAAATGAAGCTTAAATAAAAAACAACAATATTTTAAAATAAAACAAAATGTTTATATTTTGATTGTTTGTGATAATTATAAAAATTTATTAATCTAAAAGTAATATAATAATTGTTAATTAACTCTTATTAAATTCTAATAAAAAATCTTTTGTAAAAATTTTATAAACATTAATAAAAATATACTTTAAATTATTAAATAATAATTTTATTAAAATATATGATTGTATAAATATTCCAATTAAATAAGAAAATGTTACAAGTTTATAAAAGATATTTCGTGTATCTGCTTAATTGTGTTATCTAAAATAATCAAAACTCTAAAAACTTATAAAATGATAAAAATTTAGATTTTTTATTCAATAAACTAAATTAAACTTTTAAAAAAAACCTTTTGATAGTTAAAAGTCAAGAGGCAAACTTATCTTTTATAATTAAAGATTGTTTAAATTTTAAACATCATTGTGTATTGTTGTAATTTTAAAAATCACAATTTTATTACTAATTTAGAAAATATGATTTATGTAGTTTAAATATAATATTAATTCTCTTTTTAAAAAATCTAATATTAGATGTGGTAATACAAATAAAGCTAATATCTAAAGACAGTTCATAAATTTTTTTATAAAAAATATTATAATTTAACAATATATAACCGAATTGTTGATTTTTAAAACATTTATTTTGACTAATATAATAAACTAACACAGATCAATGTATTAAATTAATAAGAATTTCATTAAAATAAAAATTTATTGATTATATTTTAGAATTTTATGAAATTAAAACAGTTTTATTTTTATTATCAAAATTTCAGTTTAAAATTACAAAAATTTGATACTTTAATTATTAATTATAAATATTTTTAATAAGAAATTTTAAGATTTATAGATTATTAAATCTTTTAACTGATAAAAATTCTAATTCTTCATTTTCACCAACTTTTACAATTAATAAAACCTTTTTGCAACTCGCACAGACCCTCTGTAAAGCTATTAAATATTCGTAAGTTATCTGTTCATTATAAATAATTAATCCGTAAGTTGAATGTACTTTATCAGGATCATCTAAATACAACAAAAGGTCCATTCCGTACTTTATACCATCTGTATAGTATAAATTGTTACTCTTAATCCAATCTTTAACTAATTTTAAACTGTTTTGCTTATCTATCATTTTTAAAAAGATTTTATTTAATTTTTCTTAAAAACTTATTGTATTGATTGACTGTTTCTCCAGATGGTTGTTTAAGTTTAAATAAATCAATTTCACTATTAAATAAGAAGTCTATAAAGAATGAATCTTCAGTAACAGTTAACATGTATTCAATATTTGATTTTTGTAATTTTACTAGTGTTGATATATCACTAAAATCATTAATTTTTAGTTCAACTATATCAAATAATGATTTGTTTTTTTCTATCAATTTTTCATCAGATTTAGTCAAATCACCACTAATAATTTTAATTTCCTTTCTTAGACTAAAAAACTTATTCCATCCTCTAATATCATTTTCATTAAAAGGATCTTTAATTGAAAATATCAAACCTTTATAACTCTCAATCAAATTTACATAATAGTCAATTAACTCATCAGTATTAAAAATGTATCGATCAAAACTATAAATAAACTCCGAATTTATAATCTTAGAAAAATTATTAGCTGATACATTCAATGAAACTTCCAAATCATTTAAGTTTAATTGATTAGCAACATCATTTAACATATCTAAACATTCAATAGTTGTTAATTTTTCAAGTTTTAAATTTTTCTTCTTATCAGTGTTCAAATCTGAATAGTATAATTTTTCATTTTTTTCTGTAAGTAATTCATTTAATTTTTTATAAAATTTTACTCCTAATAATATTTGATCTTTAACTGGTTTATAAAATGATATACTGATGTCTTTACATGATAAACACAATTCATCTCCAATCATAACTATAAACACTTTCATATCTTTTTTAATAAACCTTTTAAACTTCATTAAATATTTAAAATAGTTCATAGATAAAGCTAAAGTTAAATTTTTACTTACTTTCCCATTTAGTAAACTTTTTATAAAATCATCAAATCTCTTTATTTGTTCATAAATTGATAGTTGAATACTCATTTCATCCCTATTAATATAGATAATCACATCTTTTTTAATTTGATTAAATAACTCTTGTTCCTCAAAATCATCTACTACTTGACCAACTCTTGACTTTATTGTAAAATTACCAAATACGAACTCCAATTCCATTATAAATTCTAAATTGCTATTTAAAACTTGTCTCATAAGAATCTTGTTTATTGAATTGTTCATTAATCTTTAAAGGAGATTAAAAAATTTAATAACTAATCAAATATAAGAAGCCCATCCAATAAACATTTCACTTAAATTTTTATCGGATGTTGCTTCATTTATTAACTCATCAACCTTTTGTTCTAACTTATAGTCTTCATCTAAGTTACTTAACCTTTCGTTAAGATTATTCATTATTGTTGTTGTACTCTGACTTCTACCCGATTTGGTTATTAGAACTGGATCGTTAACAAAACTCAGTAAATTTGCTAATATGGTGTCTTTGTTTTGTGCCATTATTAAAAGTACTTCTTTAAAGATTTTCTTAAATAGCTTTAATTTCATAACACCAAACCCATCAATAATATTTTGTGTTAATCTAAATGGCACCTTTTCTGGTATTTGTAATGACTGACCTAAGTTAAATATCATGTTAAGGTCTACATGTACAGTATCACCCGTTTCTTTATCAAATAGAATATTTTCACAATGTCTATCACCCAATCCCATAAAATAACCAACTACACACATAACTGTATATGTTTCTAAGTAATTGTTAGAACATTCATAATATTTTTTAGGATCATTATACTTTTCTAAAAAATATTTTTGAAAGAAAGGTTCTATAGAATCTCTTGTTTCAATAAATGATTTTACAGATCCAAATCTTTGTTTCTTAGAATTCCTCTTATAAATATCATAAAATAAAGAACCATCATTATATTTAATAAATATTTCCTTTAGTGATATTAAATTGCTAACAAATTTCATAATACCTCCTGAACCTCCAAAAGGTATAACATCATACGTTCTAATGTAATAATTGGTGCTATTAGCAAATAACTTATTTAGTAATTTCCCCAATTCAATAAATCTACTATCTTTTCTCATATCATCGTTACTCTTAACAATAAAAGAATAAATCTTACCATCACTTCCATATAATTGAATCATCTTAGGTTTCTGTAATGAACTAAATATTTGAATATAATTTGAAATATTAGTTATATAAACATTATCAAATCCCGGCATAATTATTTGATCTTGAATTATTTTATAAATATAAACAAAATTACCTTTCATTGTAAGTTTACTTTCTTTACTATTAGCAATATCCATAAACGCATCAACTAATTTAAGAATATTCTTTTTTATAGTTTTACTAAAAAGATCTTCTTCTAATATTTCTTTACTGTTGCTAAAATCAGCTGATAAAGTATGCCAATACAAATATTTATATTTTTTAACTAGTGATGTAATTACTTTTTTAACATGTGTATTATTCCTATCAGTTAGTAACTGTTTAAAATAATCTTTAACAACATGTAAATCATTTTTAATTACTAAATCAACAATTTCATTAGTAAATCTTATTTTCTTCTTATATTTATCATTTGTTAAGATATAAAAAAATCTTGGTACTGATTCAAATGAGTAGGAAAATGACTTATAGTAATATTTAAGGGCCTCATTGGTTTCTTTAAGTTCATCAAATAATTTACCCGAATAAAAGTATAATTTTAACAATAATTGATTAATTTCCTCGCTTTTACTTAAATCTGAACTATCACTATTCTTATTAAGATTTGTACTCAAAGATATATTTTCTAGTTCTTGTATTGTTGATAGTGTGTATTCTTTATTTTTAAGTAAAATACATCTCTTAATCTTTGATTTATAAATTAGAAGATCAGATATCTTCTCATTAATAATCACATCTAATATATTTATACACTCACTAGGTACCAGCTCTTTAGATACAGCATAATCATAAAGTAGTTCTTTGTTTCCATCTAAAATTAATTCCAATATCAACTTATCATACTTAGAATAATCTTTACTTTCTTGAAGTAATTTTAAATATTTATCAATGATGAAGTTATGTACAACTTTCAGATTTGATAATGAGCTTAAATTAGAGTTTATAAATTCCATAGACTTACTTTCAAATATTTTATAGTATAACTTTATCAAGTTATTTTTAAACTTACTGTTTTGGATTCTTTTACTAATTAACTGTAAAGTTTTATTAATGTTTGTTGAATGTTTAATCATATAAAGATCTATATTAATATGATCTTGTAAACCGTTATCAATATTATCGTCTAAAAGTGACTTATGAAGATGATACTTTTCCTCAATTCTACTTAAACAAATATTAACAGCTTCCATATCTCTATTAATCAGATAATTGTAGTAAAGTGAAATAGGATCAATCAAATTGTTATAAATGGTTAAACATCTATCATAATCATTTATACTATAAAAACAATATTTGAGAATATAAATTTGATCTAAATCAATTACTTTGTTAATAGAGTATAAATGTTCAATATAATAAATTACTCCATAATAATCTTTTAAATTCATAACTAAGTTAAAGTAATTATGATTAATAATATAAAGATGGTTCAACAATCTAACAATAAACTTAAATATTAAGATTGAATCTGTGTTAATTATTAGATTATCATTAAAAGTATAATTAATAACTAAAATACTTTCTATTTGATTATTAATATAACTTTTATAATCATATTCATCATTATTTATAAGTATTTGACATATCAAAATAATACTATCCTCAACTAAGTAATTATCAAGTAAATACATATTGTTTAGATATTTATAATCATTATCAATATCTATTAATCTACCGTAAAATTTTTTATATAACTCTCTTATAATCCTTTCATAATTATTATCATATCTGATATCTTCACTATTGAGTTGATATTTTGTATTTTTGTATTGATTTATTATAAAGTTCTTGAATTTAAAATTACCTTCTTCATAAAACTCCAAAATATCTCTATGTTTAATATATTCTTGAAAAACATATGAAAACACATCATAGTTATTATGATCTAATCTGAAATAGTAAAACAGTAAATAATCTAGTAGCTCTGTATATAACTCATCTATAGATAAATTAGTTATTCTATAATTAGGCTTATAGTCTTCATCTTCTTTATTAGTACTAATAACTATTGTTTCTAAATGTTTACTATCTTTATATTCTTCTATGATGTCATCATAAGTAATGTCAACAAATTTGTTAAAAACATTGCACCTATCGTACTCAATAATATTTTTATCAATTAATAATGATGTGTAACAGATCTCCTTTTTACTATATTCAATAAAAGTTCTAAATACATCCTTACACTTGCAATTATAATAATGAAGATAAAACTCTAGTGATGGTAAAAGATATTCTACAATATTTGGTATATTTTCAAACTTACTAATAACAAATTTTAACAACTTATAAATACAATTATTTTCTGATGGGTTTTTGTCATAATTATAATTTTTAATAAAATTATACTCTTCTCTATTAAAATATACTATTTTCTTTAGCATTAATATAATTTGGTTTATGTTATTTTTAATAAAATACGCAACAGTGGGTTTAAAATAACTATCTAAAATTTCATATCTATTACACAACATCAATATTACCAATACTTCTACATCATTAACTTGGTCAAAATAGTTATTATTTAATATTTCATATACAATTGCATAATGAATATAGTTGTTAAGAAGTTTTTGTGTTAATATAGTATTACTATTTTCCAAATACAGATATGAAAAAATATAATACATGTTATTACTAGTAAATTGTTCAATTGGTACTGAAAATAATGAAGATAAATTATAAAATATTGAATTAAGATCATCAAGACATGATATTCGCTCAATGTTTTTGTCTCTTAAAAAATCTGATATTATTTCATCAATAATTCTTAAAAACAACTCTTTATGTCTATAAATAATGTTCTTAATCAAAAGTAAATTATTTCTATTCAAGTACTTCAAATATAAAATTTTATAACATCCAAATAGAAAATGGTTTCTATTATTACTTTGATTATTATTTAAAATAATTTCAATAATATTTAGTATAAAAACATTAGAATTTAAATTCTTAACTGAAGCATTTAACTTAAAATAGGAAAGTAATTGTGATGTAAACGTATTATTTTTAATAACATACTCAATTAAGTGATAATGACTTGAATTCATTATAAAATTAAATAAATTACTGTCTAATTGAAATGCTAATAAATCATAACTGTTTAGATGAATTAGTATAAAATAAAGTGAATCTACATCTTTTCCCTTAATACACTCATTAATTGATTCATAAATATTGTTCATATCTATAAACGTTATTGTATTATTAGTATTAAAATATTCACCACATATTGAACATTTCTTAATCACTTTACCAATTGATGTATCAACTGATTTACACAAACCAATTTTAAATACATCAATCGGTTTTAAATTATAAATTTGTTTCACTTTAAATATTTTTACATTAGTATGAGTGTATTCTTTAGCGTTGATTATTGAATTTAAGTTAAATAACGGTTTAAAAAATTCCTTAGTTAATAAAAAATCATACTTATAATAATATTCAATCGCGATATCAAATACAAGACTATTAAAAACATTTATCTCTCCCATTTCAACACTTGGAATTAAATTATACTTCAGAACTATTTTGGCATAAAGCAATTTGTTCCAATCAAAATTAATGTTAATCAATTGAAGATCAATGTCATTAAAAATATCTGAATGGTCTAATAACTTAAAGAACAATAAAAATATTTCATATGATATCTCTGATTTTAACAAATAATGTAATGCTTTAGATATTCTATTATCTATAACTGTATGCTTGTCCGTGTAGAGATAATCATTAATAAATTCAATTAAGAACTGTTCAATATTACGATGATCAAGCTTCTTAATAGCAGTTACAATTAATTCTACCTTGTGTATATGTTTCTTATTATTCCTATAAATTGCTATGGGATCCTCTAGATTCTCATATAGATTTCTGAGATAAGCTGCCTTCATTTTAAATTTATGTGGGTTTAAAATTTTAAAACTAAAAGTTTGTATGTTATAACAAACAAATTGTTTAAACATAAAATTATATTTTTGTACAGCATAACACATCTTTTTATTTATTTTCAACCCTTTCATTGAAATGTCTGAAGAGATAAAGAAAATAAAGAATAGTTCACTAGAGCTTAGTATAGAACAAGAAATAGACAGCATCTTTGAAGGATCTGTTATATGTGATCATTCATTGAGAATTGGTGGATTGTGTGCTAACTGTGGTGAATCTATAAGAAATGATCAAAAGTTAGCTACTTTTGATCATACAAATGATGCGATCTTATTAACACAAGAATTTGCAGAAGAAGAAAGTTTTAAACTGGCCAATGAAGTGCATAATAACAAAAAAATGGTTCTATTATTAGATTTAGATCAGACTTTGCTACACACAAAGGTAGTAAGTAAATATGATTTGCACAACAAACTATCAATAGTATACAATCATAAATTTGTTTTAGGTCATGATATTCACTATGTAAAATATAGACCTTATTTGTTTTCATTTTTAAACAAATTATCGAAATTATATGAACTACATGTATACACCATGGGGACAAGATTATATGCACAAGCAATACTAGCCCATATGGACCCAGAAAAAAAATATTTTGGCAATAGAGTAGTAACTAGAACAGAAAATCTTAGAACATTATACAAGTCAATAAAAAGAATCACAACGGTTGATAAAAACGTATTATCATTGGATGATAGATTAGATGTTTGGAATTTTATACCTAACACTATAGTAATTAAACCTTTTTACTACTATAATAGAATTGATATTAATGACCCTAATATAATACTATGGGGTGTAGAAGTAAGTGGAGAAAATGAAAAAGAAAAAGAAATGATTAAAGAAATAACAGAAAAAATAAAAAACGAAAATTTATTAAAAATAAAAGAAGATTATAATGAATTAATGATAAAAGATATTAATAGCAAAATTAAAATAAACGGTGAAATAAAAACAGAGGATGATTTGAATAAAGAGATGCCAAAAAGAGACAAAGAGTTGTGTAAAATATACAAGTTGTTTAAAAATATTCACAGATCATTTTTTGGTCAAAATTTAGAGTTAAAAGATACTTTGCATATAAAAAATTTTGTCAAACTTAAAATATTTAAAGGATACGTGTTTAATTGTTCATTATTATTAGAACCTTTTATTTTATTCATGGGTGGTACTGTGACACATGGATTTGAGAAACATGGAGATAAAAATATTTTTGTAATACAAAATGAACTGATAGCTAAATCCCTTAACACAGTAAGTTTATCACAAAATTGGATATATGATTGTCTTTATGAAAGAAAATTTCTTGATATAACAAAGTATATTTTAAAAGACTACAGATTGTAAAAAAATTTAATTTTGAATTAGATAAATTCTATCACCTGTAAAATTAAAATTATGTTTTTGTGGTTTAGTATGTAGATGATGTGTTTGATAATTATCAATTAACAGATTTTTATGAGATACCTTCCCAGTTTTAATATCTTCATTATAAGTGTTAGGTGAATTTTTATTAAAAAATCTGTATTTTTCACTAGAATTAGGTGACTTAAAGTCATAATACACTGAAATAGGTTTTAAATTTTCTAAGTTATATTCAACATTACGAATCTTACCTTTATCATCAACAACTTTAATTGATTTTTTAGTTGGATTATCAACAAATCTTTTATCAATCTTAAAATCCTTTTTTAACTTTAATTTAAATCTTTCATTTTCTTTAACTTCTTTATTTGGATCAATTTTATAAATTGTTGGTTTTTCTTGTGATTTTAAATATAAAGAAGATTGTGATTGTTGATCATTATTAAATCCACTGTTACTAGTGTTTTGAGTATTATTTGGTTTCTCAGTTTTATTATCATTAACAGGTTTATCAAGTTTCTTATTAATTTCTTGTTTTATGTTTTTAATCTCTTTCTTTATATGTTCAATCTCTTTCTTATCAATAACATCAGTTTTATCTTCACTTTTATTATTTGAAATTTCTGTAGATTTTTCTATTCTTTGATCAATTTTACTACTTTCTAAATTTTTATCTCTTTTATTTTCATGAATTTTTAAATCCTGTTTAGTTGTATAATCATTAACTTCTTTAGGTTTTCGTTTCTTTAATATTCTCTTAGTTTCAATAATTTCATCAACATCTTGATCATTTATATCAGTACACATTATTTTAAACAACAAAGTCTCTATAAAAATAAGCATAGTTATAAAACAAATTTTACTTTTATATTTAATTTAAAACAAAGTAACAAAATATTATCTTTTTAATTTCAAATTTTAAGATCAAAATTAGACTAATTTATAGATTTTATTCTTTTTTCTTTAATATTCTATTACACCCAATAACAGGACAATTTTTATTTCCGTGTTTCATATAGTCTTTAATAGCCGATTCTTCAAAAGTATGTCCACAATTAGAAATAAATTTAATTTTTATTGGTGCTTGAGTTAAATAACACATTTGATTTGTATTATCATCAATTATAGATGCTTCACAATTAAAATCATTAATTATAACGTCAACATCAACACTGATACTTTCTGGATTAGTTAATTTCGTTGGATTGTTAGCTAATTCAATATGAATTAAACAGTTAGTAGCTAATTCTTTATCAATCTCTATCTTATCCTTTCTTAACTTATTTATTAGATCCTCTAATCTTTCTTTTCTACTTTTAAGTATCCCATTTAAATCTTCAAACATTTAAAACAAACTAAATCATAATTTTAATTTTTTAAAAGATCAAAATGATTTTCATAAAGTTGAATAAAATCTTCAAGAGTCAGTGAAGAATTATGATCTTTATTTAGAGAGTTGTAAAGTTGATTAACTAATTCATTGCTCTTATCTTTACAAAATTGACCATAAATTAACAAAAACATATCATCAATTGTCTCACTGAAAGTTTCTCTAGAAATCTCACCTTCTTGATTGATATCATAAAATCTAAAAATCCAGGTTGTTTTTTCAAAAGTGCTTCCTCTTATAAACTTAGAAGTAGATATTAATAATTCAGTGAGAGTAATTTTACCGTTATCAGCTATATTTAATGCTTTAAATAACCTAGAACAGAACCTGTTAATAGATTTATTGATTTCAGTAACATCATCTGGTTTAAGATGAGTTATTATAGTTAAGTCATTAGTTAGATTTAGAGGGAAATGAGTTTTAAATAAAGTATAAAGATCACTAACTGTGATATATTTGAGAGGAAAAAGAGATTTGAATTCTTTAGACCATTCTCTAATATCTTTAGGTTGAAAATGCTTAAATTTACGAATTTCTTTATCTTGTTCATTAACAAAAGATATTCTATTACCCATAAAAAAATAATAATTAAATTATTTATATTTTTAAAACTTAAAATATAACAGGAAAGGGATTCGAACCCTTGAACTCCATGAGACTACGACCTGAACGTAGCGCCTTTGACCACTTGGCTATCCTGTCGATAAAATAACTAATTTTAAAAATAAATAAAATTTGTGATACACTTGGAAACAAACATCAAACGACATATAAATTGAATTTAAGTTTCAAAACTAAAATGTTAATGCAAATAATAAATAACTCGTTAAAATTAATATTATCAAGAGCTTTAACTCAATATAAAACTGATAATTATTCAAATAAAACATATACACCCTATCGAGTAACAAAAGAAACTACAAAAGTAAGACAAGATAATTTAGATTTATTACCAGAAAAGCCACACTTATTTACTTCTGATCCACTAGCACCAAAAGAATACAGACAAAGTATAGCAAGATACATAAATAATAAGAATGTTCCTATTCCAGCAGAGTTCCAAAAATATTCTTTTGGAAATTTAGCAGTAGTAACTCATAACACAGAAGGAAATAAAGAAACCGATGAATATGAAGAAAGAAGAGCAAAAAGAATAGTCAATCATCTAAACATGAATGTTGTTCACATATATTTCCTACAAAATGTAACATGGAAGTTATATAAGAACATTATCAACCTTATGAATGAAGAACCAAGATTAAAACATATGAAAATTGCAGATCCATTAAATTTCAGTGTTGATATAAATAAAGGATCCAGACATGAATATTTTCCAATCATCTATGACTCTAGGATGCTTACACCTATTAACCAAGCAACTTTTAAACCGGAGGGGAAAAGCAATATAATTTACTCAAATTGGGTACAATTTAGAAAGAATGGAAAAGTAAATAGTCCAATAATACATGCAATAAATCTAAACCTATTCAGTGCAGATGAAAAAGTAGAGGAAAGACAATTATTACATATAAATAAGAGTATTGATGAAATTAAACAAAAAAATAATGTAGTTATAATGGGTGGTATAATTAACTTCCAAAGTAAGAGCTTAAAAAAATTTTTAAAGGACTATTATTTTAAATCACAATTAAGTTCTGATAAATTAAATGACCAATTAAGCAAGAATACACTTATCGATAAACAGGATGGAGTTCAAAGGGAACATATTTTAATAAAAGAATCTGATGATGTCTACTTACAAACCAACAGTGTGAGAATATTATCAGCATTTGAAGATAGTGACACAAATTCACTTGATTTTAATAAGAATTTGGAATTTAAAAGCCATCCAGTAGGAGGTATTTTTACTTTAAGTAATAAAAGTCACTCTTTATCAACTTAAATAAATTGATTATGTTTTTTTATCAAAATTTTTAACCCTCAAATGTACCAAGGAGAATCAAGTTTTAGTGGTGTAATGATTCCGAAGGCTAAAGGAATTACAAAGATTTGCACAGATGGAAGGCTTCAGTTTACTTTTGGTGGAAAGGAAAGAAATTTGATAGAAAATAAAATTAACCCAAGAATAGTTAAATGGACGTTAATTTCTCGTGAATTTTACAAGAAGAGTGAAAAAACTTCTAACAAGTCTACTGAACAAAAACTAACTGTAACAAAGAAAGTTAGAGGATTTAATTGTGTTCCTTCTTCTTTAATTAAAAAATCTAATTAATTAAACGTTTGTTATAAAAATTTAACGAGTTCATTTTATTTCAATCTTTCTTATAAAATCTAACATCAAATTCTTTGTATTGATTTTCATTAATTAAAGTTAAATTTTTATTAGAAGTTGTAAACTCTAATTCAGGATAGTATTTTTTACATACTTTGATTATTTCATCATTATCAATATTTATGTTTATTTTATCACTAAATACTAATCCCCATGTTTTTCTACTTTTTTGTACAAATGAATAAAAATCTCTTGCTAATGTTGATTCTTTAACTTCTTTAGTTTCTTTCACATCTAAAATTACACAAAAGTCTCCATTTACTCCTGTAAATAAACCTGAGTGTGACACTCCAATCAAATCTCTAGTTATTAATAAATCTTCTAAACACACCTCTTCTTCTTTAGAATCTTTAATTGGTTTTATTGTTGATAAATCTTCCTCTTTAAGTGTTTTTATAAACTTAATTTTTTCTTTTATAAACTTATCCTGAGACAATCTCTTAAAGAATGGTCTGATTATCACTTTAAATTTATACTTTTCTTCATAATCAGTTAAATACTCAATTCTAAATACATTACACTCTGACTTAACAATATTCTCATATTTTTTATATAAAGTATAATCTTTACATAAAACAGTTACTAGATTTAATGATCTTTTAAGCATAATAGAATGTTTCTCTCTTAATGATCTAATGGCCTCAATTAACTCTTTAACTACATCAAATTCATTACTCTTCTTACTGGTTGGTTCATTGATATTATGATGAACACTTGCTAATTGATTATTTTCTAATAAAAGAACTTCCTTAACTGATTGATAACAATACTCAGAAAAGAAAGGTATAAATGGTGCCATTGAAATTGAAAACTTATTCAGTATCATTCCTAATGATCTACCATTAAGTCTCAATTCTTTTCTATTAATTCTTAAATACCAGTTACTTAAATCATCTAAAAATGTATTTACAAATAAGTGAACATCACTTAATTTATAATTATTTAGTGAATTTGACACGTTGAAATTAAAACTATCAAATCTATCATTAATCCACTGATCCATAAATGTAGGTTCACTGCCCATCTCACACTCCATAAAAAATGAAAGAGTGTTATACCAAGGTATCAATACTAACTTAATTACCTCTTTAACTCCTGTTTCATTAAACTTTAAATTTTCACCCTCAACTACAGGTGATGAGAGTAAATAAAACCTTAATGAATCAGCACCGTATGAATCAAATATAGTTGTTGGTGATGGATAATTTTTTAATCTCTTTGACATTTTCTTACCATCTGCAGCTAACACAATTCCATTAACAATCACATTTTTAAATGCTGGTTTGTTAAATAAAAGTGTTGATAGAACATGAAGAGTATAAAACCATCCCCTTGTTTGATCGATACCTTCACCTATAAAATCAGCTGGGTGATTGTCTATCTCTAGATATCCATCATACTTGCTTACCAAATCCTTATTTTTACTAAATGGGAAATGTTCTCTAGCGTAAGGCATTGAACCACTCTCAAACCAACAATCTAATACTTCTGGTATTCTTTTGTAATTCTTTCCATTTTTGGAAATTATTAATTTATCAACATACTGCTTATGAAGATTATCTACTTTACTACCCGTCATCCTTTCTAACTCTTCAATACTATTTACACATATTAAATCTGTATAATCATAAATTTCTTTACCTTCAACTTCTTTAAAAGCTACCCATATTGGCATTGGTGTACCCCAGTATCTATTTCTACTAATAGCCCAATCCTTAGCATTAGCTAACCAATTATGAAATCTTCCATATTTAACAAAAGCTGGCATCCAATTAATCTTATCATTGTTCTTTAATAATTCATCTCTTATTGGTTGTACTTTAATAAACCAGTTAGGAACACACTTATACATTAACGGGGTATCTGATCTCCAACAAAATGGGTATGAATGAACTTCATGACTAGATCTTAAAATATTTTCTTTAATATCCTTTAAAATAACCTTATCAGCATCCTTAAAGTACATTCCTTTATACTTCGTTTCATAAAACACACCATTATCATCAATTGGGCATGGAGGAACTTCATCAACCTCAAGCAAACCTTTTGCTAAAAAGAGTTTATAATCCTCTTCTCCAAAAGCAGGTGAACACTGTACTATTGCAGTACCATCACTATTAGTTACAAAATCAGCATCTAATACACTAAAAAACGATGCACTTTTCTTGCTTACTGTTATTTCATTATCATGTCTGCCCTTAATAGAAACATTATTAATATCCAAATCATACATCATGTTAACAAAACTACCTACTTGATTATGTTTCTCTTTATTACTAATTCTATCTTTATAACTAATGAAATGATCAAATAAAGGTTTATAATTCATTCCAATTAACTCTTCTCCTAAGAAAGTATCGATCACTTCAAATCCAATAAAGTAACTTTCAATTCTACCGCTTTGAATTATTAAGTACTCTTCTTTATCAGACTTAAAGAGGGAATAGGTAAATTTTGGATTAACAGCCAATCCACAATTAGAAATTAATGTCCATGGTGTAGTAGTCCAGGCAACTAAGTAACACTTGTTTAAATTGTAACGATTTAAAAATTCATTATCATCCACCTCAAACTTAACAAGTACTGATGGATCAGAAACATCCTTATAATTTTGTGATGCTTCAAAATTAGATAAAGGTGTCTTACATGCAGTAGAACAAGGCATAATCTTAAATCCTCTATAAATTAAATTTCTATGAAATAAATGTGAAAAAATATTCCATACAGATTCCATAAAACTTAAATCCATTGTCTTATATGACCCTTCAAATTCTATCCATCTACCTAATCTTTCAACGAAATATTCCCATTCACTCGAATAAAGCATAACAATCTTCTTACACTCATCATTATAATTAGCAATACCCATCTTCTCAACATCTTCTTTTGTTTTAATGTTTAACTTTTTATCAATTTCATACTCAACCGGCAATCCATGACAATCCCATCCAAATTGTCTTTCAATATGATACCCCTTTTGGTAATAATAACGACATATCACATCTTTAATAGTACCTGCTAATATGTGCCCATAGTGAGGTAAACCTGTAGCAAAAGGTGGACCATCATAAAACGTATACAATGGCCTGTCTTTACTTAACTCATTACCTTTTTTAAAACACTCATTATCTTTCCAGTACTTTAATATCTCTTCTTCCGCCTTTGCAAAATTAATATTCTTATTAAACATTTTAATGATTTTATAGGGTTTAAAAAATTTCTTATTAAATTAAAAATTTTATAAGAAAAGCTTTAAAAATGATAACAAAAAACTCAAATAATACAAGTAAATCTAAAGAGGATGAAATTTTAAGAAACTATACTGATAAAAAGACATATGAAGTTATTCAATATTTAGAACTAGTTAACAAATCTAAATGGACTAACATAAAAATGTTAATACTTAACTTCATTAATAAGAATAAAACAGTGGTTACTTATGATTTGTATATTAAGTCAATACTTCCTCTGTATAAAGAGAAAAGTTTTATTATTAGAAAGGACAAAAATTCTTATGGTTTAGCAAATATTGATGATATTTAATAAGCAAATAAATTTAATCTGAAACTGGTTTAAAGCTTAAAAGTGTCTCTTTCTGCTCTTTAGTAAAATGACTAAATATTGGAGAAATATTTTTAAGTTCTCTGCTTAATTTGATAATTTCAAAGGTTGCTGGGAACTCACTATTTTCTACTTGTGCTTGTTCAAAGATTTCTAAAGCTTGTTTAGGTAAAAATGGAACTAAACAATGGCCTACTAGAACTACTAATGAATAACCTAATGAATATCCCAAAATCATCTTTTCTTTGTTAACTTGTAAATCTTGTAAGTACTTATTTCCAATTTTACACAACTTAAAAAGTACCTCAAATCCTCTTCTAATAGAAATCTGTTCCATAACTTCCAAATATTCATTGTATGTTTCTTTAATACTTTCTACAAACAACAATTCATCTTTGTACTCATCAAGACTTAAATCTAACTCTTTTAAAACTTCACTAATCACAATTTTCTTTTTAGATAAAAATTTTAAGGTTCTGTTTACAAAATTACCTAAACAAGCAACTAAATCAGTTTCTACTAAAGTTAAAAATTCATCAACGTTAAAGTCCGCATCTTTAGTTTCAGGTCTTCTTTTCAACAAGTAAAACCTCCACTTGGAAATATCACCAACATCCTTTTCCAAAATATCACTACCAAATACTCCTATTGATTTTGACTTACTAAACTTTTTTCCATTGAATGTCAAATAACCAGTTGAATTTATTACTGGTTGATAGTTTAATTTAACGTTTTTAAAGAAACTTTCTTTAATATTTAAATTTTTAACCATTTCAACTAAACTCTTATTCTCACTAACTAAAGAATCATCAGTTAAACTTTCTTTAAGTGCTGATAACATTGCAGGAAACATAATCGAATGGAATGGAACATTATCTTTACCCATAAACTGTACAAAGTCTGACCCATCTAACCAAGTTAAATCTTTTACCTGTTTAAGAAAAGTTAAATATCCAATGGGCGCATCAAACCATACATAAAATACTTTATCTTCAAATCCTTGTACTGGTACAGGCACACCCCATTTATACTTTAAATCTCTTGTCATACATCTGGAGTGTAAATCTTTTTCTATCCATTCGTTAAAAATAAATTTAGCAGATTCTGACCACCTTGTAGTATCTTGATTTTTAATTTTATCTTTCAATCTACCTAATTCCAAAAAGAGATGAGTTGTTGTTTTTATCTTAGCACTCGACTTACATATTTTACATGTAGCATTCTTTATTTCAGTTGTTATATGACATCGTCCACAATTATCACATTGATCACCATTTGATATTGACCCACAAACACACAATCCTTCAACATAACGATCAGCTAAAAATTGTTCACATGTCTCACAGTAGAACTGAGAAACTTCCTCCTGTTTAAAATAATTAATTATTTTTAAGAAAAACTGTTGAACTAAATTTCTATGTTCCTCACAATGGGTATGTCCAAAATAATCAAACGACAGATCAAATGCTGAGTAGACATTCATATGAACTTGTCTGTTTTTCTTTACGATATCAAAAGGCATACATTTCTGTTTAATAGCTTCCATTTCAGTAGCAGTTCCATACTCATCAGTACCCGAAATAAAAACAGTGTCATAACCTCTCTTTCTACAGTATCTTGCATATACATCTGCACTTAATAACGATCCTATTATATTGCCTAAGTGTGGCTGGTTATTTACATACGGTAGTGCTGCTGTTATAAATTTCTTGATTTCTTTATTTGATTTATTTTTCATAAAAACTTAAAATATAAATTTGTTTCTTTTAACAAACAAAAAATTCTCTAATTATTTATTTGTATAATTTTAGATAAATAATTTTTTGTTTATATTAAGTTTTAGAAATGGAAATAGGTAGACAACCCATAAGTGAAGCTTTATTTAATAAACTATGGTTGATATTATACAGAGAATTATGTGATCTATACACCACTAAACAATGTGATGCAACTACTGTTTATAATACAGTTTACGCAATCTGTACTAATTCAAATATAAAAGAAAACAAACTTGAAAACAAGCTTTATTGGAAAATTGGTGATTTTATGTGGAATAGATGTAAAGAAATTTACACCGATATACTTGAATGTTTTAGAAGACATATTGACTACCTAGATAAAGATGATTTTATAAATTTCTATAATCATAAATTTAATAACTACATTAACCTAGTAGAATGTATCAATAATCTTTCAATTTTTCTTAATGAATGTGTAAAGGGAAAATCAATTAGAGATTTTGGATACATTTTGTGGGAGAAGGGGGTTATTCAGGAATTAGCAGAATCTAATATTGATGTATTTTTAATTGCCTTTAGTAGTAATGATCATAATAGAGTTGTGTTTATAAATAATTTAACATACATAGTACCAGTAGAGGAAGAAAAATTACTTTATTATGAAAAGAAATATGAAAACATAGCTATAGCCAACCTCATCAGTAAATATTCACAGGTTGTTTTTGAGACTCATTTAGTAGAATTAGGCAGCATGATAGAAAGTATGGTATGTGATGTTTATAAGTCATTTAATAATTATTTTTTGGAAAGTAGTATAGATAAAGTAAATGAAACTTTAGAGAGAATTATTATAGAAGGTAGAATTTATGACATAGTTAATGGTTATATTACATTACTTTTTAATGAATATAAATGTAAAAATAATTACAATATCTCTATAAAAGCAGGATCATTAGCAAAGTATAATTTAAAAGAAGGTTTAAATAAGTTTACAGAAGAATTTTATAAGAATGAAATATTTAAAGAAGCAAAAACATTAATTGAACAACAAATTAATGAGGATTTAAATGTAACTAAGTCTGATAATATGTCTTTAAATTTCTTTAATCAAATGGGAGTATTAAAAAATATAAGATCAATTTTATTAAAAGCGTATTGTATTTTTATTGATCAAATACTTAAAGGATCATCGGATAAGATTAGTGGGAGTTTGGAACAAGTTGAAAAGGTCTGGGATAGAATAAGATTAGTTGATGATAATATTGCACATTTCCTCTTAAAAAAGCATCTGTTGACAATAAGACCTTGTTATATAAGTAGATTTGTAGATTTTACAAACCAAATTGCCCGTGAATCTAATAATAAAAATAACAACGTTTACAAAATGAAGTTTTTTAGAAAGATGTTTAATTTAGTTGATGATAAGAATGAATTTTATAGTGTTTATCAAAGAGTATGTATGGATAGAATTTTAAATAAGATCAGTCAACCAAAAATGGAAATTAACTTAATCAATAGTCTTAATCTTACTGATGACAATAAATTGATAAGAATGATAAGAGATTTGGAAAATAGTACACCTAACTTTCTAATGTTAGATGGAAGATATTGGGATTTAGAAGAAAAGTGTGGTGCGGTTATACTACCAAGTAGATTTTTTAATTTTATTAAGAAAGAATTTCCACAATTCAAATTAACAGTAAAAAACATGACGTATCAAAATGTGTCTAAAGGAATTGTAAGGAATGTAAAGTTTGTTCACAAACTATGTAAAATGTGTATAAGATTGTTTAAAATAACTTACATGGTCAATATTTACCAATACATTGTATTAGAACTGATAAATAAAAATTATACGAAAAAAGAAGAAATTATGCTTCAAAGTGGAATAGAAGATTCTATTTTAGAGTTAATTCTAAACTCATTAATAACTAACGATGTTATCCGACTTAAAGAAGATAAATACAGTTTTAAAGAAAATAATAAAAAAGTAGGTGTAGTGTATGATTTAAGAATAGAATGGGAAGATGAATTCAATAAAGAAGTTGATATTCCATCATATCATCAAGCACTAGCAGTAAATCAATTAAAAACTCATAAAAAAATTAATCAATTAGATTTATTTAAGAAAATAAAAAAGCTCACAAAATATAAATGCACCTCTGAGTGTTTTAACAACCTTATAAAGTGTTTAGAAGATAAAGGATTATGTGAAATCAACACAGATTCAATTACATACATTGAATAAATTTATAACAAAAGTTTTAATTAGTTAATTTGATTAAAATGTTTAATGAAATTAAAAATAGCAATTTATTTGTTACCAAGTGAAAATTTTTACATAAATTTATTAAAATTTTTTTAACCCCAAAAATGAGTATTACAAGTGGTTTATCTTATGGCTTAAACGCTTTACTTTTAATAATAATCGCAACATTAGTAATAATGTATTATACAGACTTTTATGAAATAAAAATTAATAAGAGAATAGGAATGTTTATCTGTAATGTTAGAAAGAATGATCATTTAAAAGAGGATTTAGTTATTGAAATTTCTGATAAGGAACCGTTTGTCTGTAGAGATTCAGAAGTTAATGAAGATGTAAATGAAACTTCTAATAATACTAACAATTCATTAAAAGATGATGTTAAAACAGATAAACAACTAGATAACATTATTCAAGAAGTCCGAGATAATGAAAAAGTCAATGAAATAGAATGTACAGTGTCAACTAATGAATCTTTAGTTGTTGAAGAAGGTTATTTAAGTAAAGATGAAGAAAAGGAAGTAGTTGAGGCTTCTATGTCTGCTAATGAATTACTTTTTGTAGAAGAAAATCAACCAAATGATAATGTTAATGAGGTAGTTGAAGTTAATATATCAAGTAATGAAAATTCTGTTGATGAAATTTATTTAAGTAATTATGATTCACAAGAAAAAGATGAATCAAGTAAAATTGATGTGGCTGAAAAATTGATTGAATCAATTAGTGAAAGAAAAGAGGATTTAGAAAAAGTTCTGAAGGAATAAATTTATTTTTAAAAAACTTTTATATTTTTATTAAAAAAAATGGAGATAAGAGATTTAATAGAGAATAAACAATATGAAGATATTATGAAATTAGACAGTCCTTTATATGACCCTTACAAATGTATAGCAGCTATATATTTGGGTGATTATGTAAGTGCTGTCAGATATTCTAAGAGAAGATCATTTCAAAGAGCATATGGTTATTATAAGTTTAAGAAGTATTCTAAAGCACTTAAAACACTAAATAAAATTAAAAAAAGATCCTTGAAATGTAAAATACTGAAATCTCAATGTCTTTATTATAAAGGATGTTATAAAGAATCATTTGAGATTCTTAATAGTCTAAAAGATAAAGATTTAAATGAAGAAGGATTTGTTAATCTTGCCATATTGAAAGCTTTAGCTGGTGTTGATACAGATAGAGTTAGTGTGATTAAAGATGCTAATTTTAAATTACAAGAACTTTATAATAGTTTATTTAAATATGTTGATAATGATGATTTGTTTATAGCTGAGTTAGAAGAATTAGACAAAGAATTTGATGTTAGTGAGTCAGTTGTTAAAAAACAAATAGCTAATTTAAAAAATGAAAATTTAAGTGATTTTAATTTTTCATCAAAAGAACATTCTATTATTAATTATAATAATCACAATGGAAGTGTTGATTGTAGAAATTTGTTAAATTTCCAAAAAGAAGTTTTTATACAAAATACCTTTTTTAATTCCAAAACAAGAAATTTTAAAGAAAATAATAGACTGATGTTACTTAATAAAGCATTTGATGCTGTAAAAAAATTTAGTGAGGAAAAATCTTTTAAAATATTAGAAAAGATTTTAGATAAACATTCTAATATTCTTTTAAATTCAGATATTGAATTATTAAAAGGTATACTTTATAAGAACTTTGAAAAGTCTTTAGAAATAATAAATCTTCATTAAATAAATTAGATTATTTTATTGTTTAACTGTTTTTTAATTAAATGTTTGATGTATTATTTCTTAGTTAAAAAAGTTTTTAATAATTATTGTTTTTTTTATCAATTCAAATAAAATTTTTTAATAACTTAATTTTATATTTCATATTGTTGTATCTTATATAATCAATCAAAATAATGTTAATTATAGTAATATTATAAATGAATATTATTTAAATACTATAAAAGTAAGAAGGTATAAAAAATAATGATTCACTTATGATATTTATTTTAATCTTTAATAATTAAAATAAATAATATCAAAATTTAATTGATTATTATGACTTATTATAATTATAATAATATTTAAGATTTAAAGACATATTAATTTATTTAAAATAATCAAATTTTAATGAATAACTTAAAAAACTAATTTTTAATTAAAAAAACTAATAAAGATGTTTAAGTAATATTAGAATATTTTTTTAACATCACGACACGATAATAGTTTAAAAGTTTAAAATCCTACTTAAATTTTTTTATTGTCAATAATTACTATATTTATTAGAAATATTGAAATGTTAATTTTATTTGTAAATAATATAAATATTTAAGAAAATAATAAATTAGTATGAAATTATTATGTTAATACCTAGTAGTAAAAAGTTTAAAGATTTTGACTATTTGCTACAAAGATATAAAAAGGGATATTGACGTTATTATAAAAAGTAAAGTAATTTAACTAACCATAAATTTATTATATCAACTTAAAAGTTATAGTTTAAAATTTACGTCAAGACATCTACAATAAGCAAGTGTTGATTCTTTACATGTTAGAGTGGATTAAACAACATGATAATTAAGAAAAGTTATTCAAGAGAGCAAGAAATACTAATGGATAAAGAAGACTTAGTAAAAGATAATTAATTTAACTATGTTGATTTAGTTGAAAGTTCCTTTTAAACTAACAGGCAACTTATAGTATTAATTAATTCCCTTTTAAATTCTTGATATTAATTACAGGATCTTAAAATTACTCTCGTGGACACTTTTGTAAATAAAGAATTCTCGAAGGTATTCGAGCTTCACTTATTAAAACAACTAACTTTAATTTAGTTGCTGAAAAGATAATTAATTTTCTGTTAAAGCCAAGGATAAACGTAAAAACGATGTAAGTAGGATGATGGATAAACTTTTGTTATATGCATATGATGATTTGTTGAATGATATGATCAAAGAGTTATTGTAAAAATGAACATAAGAGATTTTAAGTAAGTCACTTCAAAAAATCAGCCTAAGACACTCCAGGTAACTTAAAATATTTCGATAAATAGAGATTATTTCTTTAAAATTTAATGATAATATTCTACTAGAGTTCGGAATGAATCATTGCTATGGAATGAGGTTGCTAACGTAATAGTTGACTTATCTAATAAAAAAACTTCTGTTAAAGATAAGATTCTTAAAAAAATGGTATAGTATTATCATAAGCACAGTCTTTATTAACCAGAATCCCAATTGCTTAAGCTATATAACAGTGATCAGTTTTCTTTTTTTGGTAAAAAAAATTATATAACATTATAAGATCTGTTGAGTTATATCTGTTTCTAAAAATGGCAACTTAAACAATGTTGATAACAACATGTGTATCTTGGTTGTATAAATACAATATAAGATTATAGCAAAGATAGCTGTTATATAATATAATATAGTAAAGAAAAATAACCTTTTCTTGGTTGTATAAATACAATATAAGATCATAGCAAAGATAGCTGTTATATAATATAATATAGTAAAGAAAAATAACCTTTTGAAAAGAACAAGAAATAAGAATATGTTAAATAACCAACTGCTCATTTTGAAGCTGATAAGAGACGGTGTACATTGGTGTACTACATTTACAGTCTTTATATACTTTTAAAAAACTTATGATAGAATATCACTGTCATATCAGCAACTGACATATTAATTAAATAGAATTAAAACAGGATCAAGTCTCTTTTTTTTCTCCAAAACATAAACAAATTCTTTTCGTTCAAGAGAAATAAAAAATTAAAAAAAATCGAAAATTTTAAAATATTAATAATTCTTCAAAACTCTTATTTAAACCAACGTTATTCTTCTAGACTAATTATTTTTGTAATAAATTTTTCTGGATGCTACAATAACTTTGAGTTTTTTTAAACCTACTTGCATTTATTCCATACACTTTCAATGTTTTTAGTATGAACACCGATATGATTGTTCAACAAAAGATTTACTATGTTTAACATTGAAATGTAAAAATCGCAAATTACTGTTATCAATGCGTGTATAAGCACACTATTTATCAGAGTGTATTACACTACCAGGCAAACAAACTGTTTCAATTATTGGTAAAAGTGTAGAGGCAAACC